CGGGGGGGGGGGGGCCAAAAGGGACACCCTCCGCGCTTAAGTGGAAACACGGAGCGAACTCTTCTGGGGGAGGTAGGGGGGGGGAGGGGAGTGATGTCAACAAAGAGGCTTTTCAGAGTGGAACACTCAGCATCACCTGCGTCGGAAAATGTGGCGACCCGGAGCGGGCCGAGTGTTTTCACCAGCGCTCTACCCCACGCGTTTAAGGTAGGAGGCCTTTCTGCTGGTAGGTGGAGGATCAGCCCTGCACCCCCCCTCACCCCCCCCACACACACACACTGTGTCTCCCCTCCCTCTCTCTCTCTCTCTCTCTCTTGGATCCTCATGTGGAAAATAATGTAACAGTGTAAATATTATGCCTGTGTGTGCTTTTTTTCTTTTATTTGCAGTTGCGTGGTAACGTGCGGCCGGCCGGCTCCACCCCGTCTACGCCTCCCAGAGCCGGGGAGTCAAACCGGAGTCAATGGCCGCTCTCATGAGCAGATGAGTGACGCCTTCTGCTGCGGTCGCAGGGGGAGGGAGAGGAGGGAGGGAGGGAGGTAGAGGAGGGAGGGAGGGAGGGCGCACGAGGAGCGAAGCTAGAAGGTGGTAAAATGTGAGCTGACGCCGATGCTCAGTAGACGCCAAGACCACCAACAGAAAGAGGCTGAGATCAGAGGTCGTGTTCAGGTCTCTCTATCGTTAAAGAGACCTCGTTTCGTGCCGCGCCGTTAGCGGAGTCGCATTCACTTTAGTGCTTTTCAGGCCACTGCAACTTTTAAAGAACTTTTGACTTGTAGATTTATGCGACAGCTGCAGTTGCGCTGCAGGTTTTCCCGTTTGGTCGCAGCGATGAACGCGCTCGCTGGCAGTCAGAGCGGCTTCAGCTCAACCGAACGGAGGGGCAACATGTGATCCTTACTAGTTAATAAACCTGTTAATTCATCTTAAACACTTCAAAATAGGAGATAACACAACTTTTTTTTTTTTTTACAAAAGAAGAGTTGAATTCATAAGCATTAATGTGCAGTTCTGCTGATGCAGCCGTACTTGCGCGCTGATATTGGCGAACGTTAGTAAAGCAAATGTGTCATCGGCGTCACCACTTTCCATCGCAAGTGCTGGTTTTATCATTATTGATTGACCGTGATCCCACGGCGGTCACGTCGGGGGAACAGTGGCCGCTTTCAACGGTGGATAACTGTCAGTTATTGTGACAATAATGAGCTGTGAGTGACATTTCCACTTTAATTCCCCTCCGTCTTTCCCTTGGCATGTTTAATGACTTTCTTCACACGCGCTTTTGTGACCATGTGACACTGGCTAACCCCCGTTGAACCTGCAGCGTTAGTCCCCAAACGTGATAATCCCGTCCATTCCAATCATGCCAGATCCCAAACAGAATTAAATTATTAAGGAGCTTATGTTTGAGTCATAGGAGGCTTTAAAAGGTTTTAGGGCTTTGGCCATGGGAATGGACGGGGAGTTTCACACTGCAAGAAGTGTCTGCAAGAAGGGGGAGTTTGGGGTTTGTGTTGCAGCATTTTGTGCGTGAAATTTCTCAATTACCTCAAAGTAAATAAAGTCATCGGCTTCATTTTAAGACATTTTTCTTGCCGTGTAATCCAGCGAGCTTACCTCACTCCACTGGCGGAGCCTTTCGCTCATTTAAATCAAAACAAGAAGTCACATCGCGGCCGCCAGCTTAAAGTTCACAAAGACGCAGCCGGGGTTTTTTTTTTTTTTTTGCAGTGTGGCAGCTGTCTGAGAAAACACAGGAAGCTGTGCTCCCTTTATAGTCCAAACCCTCAGCCTTCACCTCGCAAAATAGCCCCGGCACAACCGGCGGGCCCAGTTATCACAATTTATGACTTTGTCAGAGCGGACCGGCGGCCCGGATCCGTGCTACCGTCTAATTTGACCTGCAGAGAGAGAGTGGAAATAGACGGACGGCGCCCCGAGGGCCCGTCGGCCGCGTCCGCTGCCCGAGTTTGGCGCTCCGCGCGCCGCTGCATCGACGCGGCGGAGAGGAGTTCAGGAGGAGACGCGGTAATGAGCGAGAAAAAACAACAAAAAAAACGGGCTAATCTGTCCGTTTCCAGACCCTCTGGCGTGTTTGTGTTAAAACGATGGGGGAGGAAGGCGAACGACCGTGAAAGCTCTCAGATTAAAAAAAGGAATCCAAAAATAACCCTGCAAAGTGTAGAAATTTTAAGAGCCACGACTTGGAAACTGTCACAACGGGGATGGAGAAACCTGTGAGGCGAAACACAATAATTACATTGTCCACTTTTGTCTGGCAATGCGATCGCTCCCAGCATACGTGGCAGCGCGCAACAGCGTTGGCTACGGCTCAATAAGACTCGACAGGCCGCAGAGACGCCCCTCGCTGCCCACCTCCATCTGATGGCTCAATAGAGAGGTGAACTCTGACCTCTGGGCCCCGCCGCTCCATACCCGAGGAGGCTTTTGAAGCGCCGCTGTCACTCTGGGAAGGCGCACAAAGCTCCGGCACGTCGCCCACCCCCCCCATGCTGGAATTTAATTTTCCATTTTACAAATGAGCCAAAACTTCCTATTTGCCGTTTCATTTAGTTTCAACAAACGCAGCGTTTCAATAGACTATAGAATGATATTAGTACTTTAAATAGTGATGAATATACCGCCAACATTGACCTTTTTATACTTGAGTTGTCGAATCTGTGATTCATGTTGCTTTTCAAACCGTGGAGAGTCTGTAACTGTAACTTATAAACAGAATGAACATTATTTATGTATAACAATTTACATATACTTATATACCACTGTTATTGTCAATACAGACACACTAAGAACAAATATCCTTCACAAACGGACCGACACAAGGAGAACAGCAGGAATCTTTCCTCCTACTCTACAAAAAGTCGTTTCTTGTTGAAGTGGACGTCTTTAAGGAACAAAGCGGAACACGGCGCGGCCTCTTAAAGGCCACTTCACTGCCGTGTGGCGTCAGGAGGTATCTTTGTGGGCCCTAATGGGCCTTAATGGTGGTCGGTGGCTTTCACCTCTCACTGGTGCAGATCTGATGGCACTTAAGAGCAAATGACAAACTGTGCTGAGTGGAGGCGACTCCATTGTGCTGATCTCTACACACACACACACACACACACACACAGACGGGTGATTGAGTCGTTCTGCAAACCTTAAAAAGAATAAAATCAGACACAGTCGCGAGTCATTTAGTGGGGAATTAACCGCGGCTGTCGAATCCCAAATGATCTCGTCATTCCAGCGAGGAGGCCGGAGGAAGGCGGCTCCACCTTGAGGACCCTGCTGCAGGAATTGAGCCTTGAGAAAGGACATTAAGGTCAGGCTGTCAGGACCTCAGGGTGCCCCACCCCGCCCTGCAGGATGAACTCATCCCTGGCAGACGCCAGGCGCCAATACTTACTGAAAAAGCAATAACTTGGGTCAAAACATATAAGCCCTAGCTGACCAACCAGAACGGAGCGTTTAACAAAGCCGCGTGATAAATAATAAAGAATCAAGCGCTTCTGGTGGTGTTTGACTGACAGGTGGTTTGAGGGATAACCGTGTTAGGAACTAAGTGACGACATAATGGTATTAGACACGTCACTCAACTTGCAGATTGCAGACTTTCTTTTCGTGTCTGAATTATCTTCTAGAACGTTGCTTTAATAATAAGGAAAAGACTGATGCGTGAAATGACATTGAACCTCCATTGTTGCGTCTGATGGCGTGCAGGGTGGAGGCGGAGTCAGCAGAGGATTTCACATTAGAACGGGTGAAGCTGTGACCCCCCCCCCCCCGACCCCTCTGGAGCCCTGCCGTGTCACGAGCTTGTCCGTCACCCAGCATCCCGATTCTACGGAGGGGGCGACCTCTCCGCGCGACAGCCCCCGGCCACATGGCCAACGGGAGATTCTAACACACTGCGGGGGGGGCAGCGAGGAACGGCATCTCAACAAAGACACGGGAGGGAACGTCCTAATAAGTGCCGCCTGAAGTCCCACATCTCGCTTTCCGTGCAGGAATTGGTTCCAGAGACTCGGCGGCATGTTGGCAAAGTGGCTTTAGAGCATAAAGTCTGCAGGTTATTCAAAGCCAAGTTCACTGAGCGAGAATTAAAAGGTAAAGTTCTGCCTTGCAGGATGAGAGAAGTGGGAAAACGTCCCCGGTGAAGCTGGAGCGTAAAATGCAGGTGAATCTTGGTGGCAGCCGGCTGTACACATCACCCTCTGATTGCACATGCAGAGCTGGCAGATAAGCACTGCACACGGGACATACGGGACAGAACGAGCAACTGGATTCCTTATTAGAAAACAAACACATTACATTCTGGGTTAAATTCCATCACCAACATCCTGGGAAATAATCTCAAGCATCAAGTCTTGAGTACTGTACGTGTGATCCTTTTACCTTGTTATCGTCAGCTTTAGTGGTAATTTGCACATTAACAAGCAATTAAGAGGATCAAGGTAAAGATTATCGTATAGTTGATTGAATATTGGCTTTGATTTAAAAGCATTCCAAGCATTACTACCTAATTATGTATTATAAGCTGCTTAGAGCAAGTCTCAAGAGGTCTAACAGGTCATAAGTCCGAAATAGGACTTCGCTTGATTATAATTTTATCTAATAGAATTGAAAAAATTCATAATGGAACTTAATGCAACCTCCTTTAACGTCAGCCGCCAGCCCTTTTATTCAGACAAGTATGTGCTGTCCATCCGCTGCAGCTAACGGCTCCAAGCTAACGGCTGAAAGCTAACAGCTCCAAGCTAACGGCTGAAAGCTAACAGCTCCAAGCTAACGGCTGAAAGCTAACACCCCCAAGCTAACGGCTGAAAGCTAATACCCCCAAGCTAACGGCTGAAAGCTAACACCCCCAAGCTAACGGCTGAAAGCTAACGGCTGAAAGCTAACACCCCCAAGCTAACGGCTGAAAGCTAACGTCTACTAGCTCTCCTTCAGTTGACACCAACATAGATTCGTCGATCAATTTTCTTTGAAACGTCGTCTCAACGTTTGTGTCTTAATACAGCACCAGTCACCATGAAGACGTCTGTGTCTCGCTCCCTAATTGTGAGTCATTTTCCACACAAACAGGTTACTTGTGGTTCAGCGTTTAGCAGATGGAATAAATATCCACAAGTACAAGCGACCTGACCTCCCAGTTTGGGATTCATCTGCTGCTAACAAGGCAGCCGCAAACTCCGACACCAGCAAATCATCCTGCGTACCTAACGTGCTAAAAGTTGCTGTCGGGGAGCCACTCGGAGTGTCCTGATGGCTGGTGACAGGTGTGTGTGTCTGTGTGTGTGTGTGTGTGTGTGGACAGAGGGAGGGAGACAACTGCTGTTGGTCTGCTGGGAGCAGATGTGGGAGATCTCCGTAAACTGTTAATAGCTGCAGGATCTCATTACATTTAACTCTTTAAAGGCCCAAACGTCCACCGGGGAGAGCGCGTCTCTCACTGCCGCGGCCTCTGCACACAGCTGAGGTTTCCGTCTGTAAGACGTTGTAAAGCTACGGGGCTCCTCGGGCAGGCCGCTTTCCCCCGACGCAGCAATTCAACCGGGAAAGGATCATATTTGAACCAAAGTGGGGCCGATGTTTACCCTGAAACCTTCATGCAAGGAGCGCTCGGTCCTGTTGGGGCTCAACAAAGGAGGGAACCTGGGCATCATTTGAGAAGCCATGTCATTGGGTTTATTTTGAACCAAAACACAGGTTTGGTCTGTTTGAATTCCGATCTTCTTACCACGATGGGTTTGTCCTTTAATCCCGCAGCTCAGGGTAAGAACCCAAACGCGAACCGGGGCCCTGTTACTTTAAGCAGCGACATTCCACATGAGAGCCCAGTGTTTAGAGAGAATCCGATGACAGAACCGAGTACAACAGCTGTTTGCGGCACCGCATTACCGTCGACATGGAGCTATGACGCGCACGGAGGCCCGGGCGGGAACATCGACTCCTGCCGGCAGCCGGTGCGAGGATCTGAATCCTTAAATCTCGGCTCCTCTGCGTCCTCTCACCTTGATGCCGCCCATCCTCTGCTCTCCTTTGAACTCCTTGCCGTTCTTCAGCCAGTGGATGGTCGGCGTCGGGTTGCCGGACGCGGCGCAGCGGAACTTGGCGGTGTTGGCGGCCGGGACGGCGAGGAGCTTCTTGTCCATCCGGTCGGGCCTCGTCCAATACGGAGCTTCTGTCGGCGGGAACACAAAACAAGGCCGTCACTTCTTTCTCCAAAGCAGGACACACACACACACACACAGAGCAGTACAGGCCGCTGTCACCCAGCGTCCAGAGGAGGGTTCTCCCACGAACGCATAGCAATGATCTCAAGTACCGGGCCATTCGCCAGAAGGCCTTCAAACCGACCGGGAAGAGAACGAGCGCAACCGGCTAAACAGACCAGGAGGGAACCTCCAGGAGTTGATGTAACATGTTTTGGTGATAGAGAAAATAAATTGGTCCTCATCTTGGATGAGTTACGAGCAGATGTGGTACCTGCGTCTGAGCTGTCAGCGCCCACCCCCCCATCCCCCTCGCGAAAGTTGCAAACGGCATGAAAACGCAGTTTGACGGAGGACACAAAGCGATGCCCCCCCAACAGAACACACACAACAATGCAGGAGTTCGTTTGAATCGTCCCTGTCGGGGCGATTTATTGAGTTGTATCGAGAGGACGGCGGACAAAGAGAGGGTAGCGAGTCAGAGAGGCCCATTGTTCCCACTGTCGGGGTGTGGAGGCTCACCGCTCTCTTTGTAGGAGTGTGTGTGTGTGTGTGTGTGTGTCCTTGTGTGTGTGTTTCCCGGGACAAAAGCTGGGGAGGTGGCTGACCGGTCATCAGATGTCTCTTTTACGTTCTAAATGCAGCAGGAGAGAGTGAGAGGGGAGCTAATTAGCATCTCAATGTTGTGTGTGTGTGTGTGTGTGTAGTAACCCACATGGGCGGGTTATTATCTCATCAGGACGCCTCAAGTGAGATGTCGATAGGGACCCCCCCCCCCATCGTGTGTGTGTCTCTGATCCGCATCGTGTGTGTGTCTCTGATCCGCATCGTGTGTGTGTGTGTGTGTGTGTCTCTGATCCGCATCATGTGTGTGTGTTTATCACTTCTGAAGTTCTGATACATTTCTGACACTTTTTCTTGCCAGCCGTAAAACTTTGGCGTCGGCCTCACGGAGTAATTACAACCAGACGAGGAGAGAGATTCAGCGATGAAAGACGAATCTTCTTAGAGAGCAAACAAACTGAGCGTCACTCCACCCGATCCCAGTGTGTGTGTCTGTGTGTGTGTGTGTGTGTGTGTGTGTGTGTTTACAAACTGCAATGGAGCAGCTGAAACATGCTCCCTGCTTGAGTTAGAGACTCCCCAGCTCGCAGAGGCAAACGCTCTCCTCGTGCATCCACACACACACACACACACACACACACACACACACACACACACACACACACAGCACCTTAAAAGGGGAATATCTGTTACATTTTGTTGCATCTCGTCTGTCTCGGCGTATTTTGGAGCGGCACTCGCTCACCGTGGGACACCTTCCGGGGAGTCCGAACACATCGTTTGCTGGCCACACACACACACACACACACACACACACACACGCGCACACAGTTTTTTCTCTGTGCTGATGTGTGGTCCTTCTGAAAACAGCTCGCTGCTGCTGCCGATCCTCGGTGGTGTTTGTAACCCGGAATAGACGGCGGCGTGGATCCCAAAGACACCGCGATGGTTTATTCACTGACCTTTAGCTGCTAACTGCTGTGCTCCTGCACAAGATCACCTGTCAATCAAGCCAAGCAGTCAATGCTGCAGATGCCGGCTAAGGCTAATTGTTTTGGCTTTTTGGAATTCACTTATTAATATTTTTATTTTTTAGTAATACTGGAAAGTAAAATTGGAAAATAAATAAGTAAAATTTTGGATGAGGAACCATAAATGCTTTTATTTCCTGTCTACCTTTTTGTTTTTTCTGCAACAACTGAACTTAATCCCATCATTGTCTGTCTGTGTGAATTATGATGGAGATCCAGATGTGGACTGAAACACTTTATCGGTGTTATCGGAGTAACAGAGTTGTGCGCAGCCTTCAGGGGGAGTTCAGGCGTTTGTATTTGGGACTTTTCCCCCCCCGGCGTGGAGCCGCGGGTCGGGGGAGCGTGACGGTGGCTCTCTGTCAGGACCCAGCGACGGCCGCTCGAGCACTCAGACACCGAACCGGGGGGAGGAAGAGGAGGAGGAGGAGGAGGAGGAGGAGGAGGAGGAGGAGGAGCACTAATTGTGTAATTTGCCCTCGCCGACGCCTTGCGAGCACACGGGCAGATTTCATTCCAGATTACACCGAGGCTCTTTGAAGGCGCGCGGCCCCGGGGGGAGGAGGGGGGGGGGGGCTGCGGGGACTCGGGGCAAACAGAAGTCGCAGGAACGGCGGGCGCCGGCCGGCGTTGCGTGGCCCCCGTCCGGCTCTCTGCTCTCCTGCCAGGGTAAACAAGGAGGCTGCATAGCTCAGGAGCACAGATTAGCCTCTGTTAACATTCCTGCCCCCCCCCAGAATACGCTGTGTTTACGCTGGTTTCCACACCACAAGGAAATACTGACTTCAATAACTGAGGGTGAAGCTCTTCTGTCTGACAACTCTAACAAAGCCACGTATGACAGATGGTAATGATCCACAACGCCTTCATGCAATTAAACCAAATATACATCTCAGCAGTTTACTTTCCATCTTTTCGTGTCGAGATGGTCTCGTGCAAAGCAGATTGCATGAGATGTTTTTCCTCTGTTTCCCGACATCTCGTAGAGATGCGTCAGCCTCAGAGTTCTGCAGCGAAAGACGCGGCATCCACAAGGCGGCAAAGCGAGTGCGGCGGGCTCCTAAAAACGTGCGTCAGAGGGAAGCCGCTCTGGCGTCAAACAGACCCTAAGGGAGGGGATGCTTTAGGGCGGGGCTATGCGCTGATTGACAGGTCTCTGCTTGGACGCACAAGGCGTCTCTCGACTTCTGTTTACGCAAAAAGAGCCAAACTCCAGGCTGCAAAACATCAGCGGACAAACCAACGGGCGACGTCGCGCCGCCGCGTCCGCTCCTCCCATGAAGTCTTTGACTTCAATTAACAATTTGGGCGCCGCGAAGGCGTCCGCCTCCCGTGACCTTTCCCAGAAGGCCGTGGGAGTCGGTGCTGGCGGCCTGTGGGGAGTGAGCTCATGCTTTTCTGTCCGTCTCCTTCCTCTGACAACAGTCAGCTGCGGCCGGCGGCGGCGCTTCAACCCTCTCCTCCTCTCATTAACGGCCCCTCTCTGCACGTCCCCCGTCTGCCATCGTCCTCCCTGCACGTGGACGCTGTCCCGCTCACCTGACCGGGACTCTCCGCCTGGCAGCCGGTCACGCGGCTCCTCGCCGCTGGTTAATTAGCGCTGGCGTAGCGGAGGCTGAGCGGCGATCGGGGGTTTAGCGTTTCTGGGCTAATCCCTCTCTCCTTTTGGCCGGGGAAATCGGAGCCCTGCATGTCATGAGGGTGGACTTACATCCAGAGATTAAGTCTGGCAGTCCGAGGCTGTTTACCGGCATTCAGGACGTCTGCAGGAAGCCGAAAGCCACTTGCGGCCGCCGCCACTTTAGGGAAACACTTACAGGCTTTCACCGCCGCGTGAAGCGGCGCATTAAAATGAGAGGATTTGGATGATTATTCGATCACTGACGGGGCCTTTACTCTCGTTTATTACTCTGGTTGTCTGACAGTCTTTCACGCGGCTCCCTTTGCGTCCTGTCATCGGCAGCAACTGCCTCACTGCAATACGGATTTATTCCCCGTGTCCCGGCAGAGACGTTCGGAATTAAAGAATTGCAGAGAAAAAGGAAAAACAGCAACTCGCCAAAACTCCCAAAAGCCTGAATGGAAATTTACTTCACTTAGATTTAGTAAAGGTTTTTTTTCGCATGACGACTTAATTACCAGCTCCTTTTTCTTTTCATAGGAGACGGGAAATGAGAGGAGAGAGAGATCGCCGTTAATAATAGAGGGGGGTGGGGGGGGGCTCAGTTAATTAGGACCCTAATTAAGCTAAAAGTCCTTCTCCAATCATTCGTTAAGGTAATAAATGTGCACGGCCACGTGGTTCGGACGACGCGGAGCTTCGTAGCTTCGCTCACAAAGAGCCCTTGACTCCATTTGGGCGGCAGCCCTCCCCGGCCCGGCGCCCATTTCGCTGAGCCGTCGCGTGGGGCAGGAAGAAGCGCTCCAAGGTGTCGTCTCGCCGGTTCCTCCTTCGAACCATCGTGAGCCGCCGAAGTGTGCAGACAGTTAAAAGAACCGTTTGTTTCCATCATTATTTTCCTCTTATTTTCCATCTGTCCGAGTCCTCGCCCCCCCCTCTCGGTAGCTGACGCCCCTTATTGTTCTTTGTTCACCCACATCTGAACTCACGCACGTCTCTGAAACGCCAAAGCGGCTCGCATCTCAAACCGAGGGGGCGTTACCTGGATGGAACGAAAAAAAAAAAAAAAAACCCGTGTGCGGCGGAGGCGTTTAGCTCGGGGCTCCGAGCCGCTGAACACGCGCCGTAAGAGCCACGGCATTCGCATCGCAGATGGAAAAAACCCGGATTGCACCGAGAGGAATCGAATCAGCCGCATCAATCCGACGAAAACCCTGTCGGCTCCAAGAGACAACAGCTTCCACCACGGCGATAAAATGCAGTTTAACTACATTCTGCACAAAAAAACACAGCATCTTCTCGTGTCACAGCTCTGTCACTCCTACCCTGCGTTCTCCACCTCTGACTCCACCTAACCTAATGGAGGCCGCGTCCACCTCCATCAGCCACACTCACCCGTCTGCCCTGCTCACTCCTTCAGTATTTAAACCCCAGTCAGTGGCTCACCGGCTGCCGGCTCGCTCTCTGCAGTCCACACAACCTTACACATTAACAAAGATGGACTTTACAGCTGGTCCAAACCGGGAAGGAAAGGGAAATCAAGAAGTAGAAAATGAAAGCGCGTTTGAGCAAAGTGTCTTCTCCGTCTTCAGCAGCTCCCGGTCTGCAGGCGGTGTGCTCATTAAAGGACCTGCTTCATGCCGCCTTGGTGGAAGTCAGGTTGTATTTCCAACGTGAGTATTCAGGAACACGTTAATGCTCCACGTTCAGCTGCTAAAAATACTGCAGAGTGGAGGTTTCCTTTTTTTGATGGTGAATGATTTGCGTTGTTAAGAGGTAAATGAATGGTGGTTAGCAAACAATCCAGATATTGTTATTTAGAAATGCACTAATGCCGTTGACAAATGAGCCCACGTTTAGGGCTAAATTTAGCAGATAAATAATTGGGGTCAATGGAACTGCATCTGTTTTTTGTCATCAGATGAGTTCCTTCTTGTTTCTATTTGTGTCCCTTTTATTGTTCTATAGGTTCTTAACACGAGGCCGTTCATCACGAGCATCTCGTAGCTCTGGTACAACGTTGTTTCACTCAAACATACAGGTTGAAGCTAAAAAAAAAGAAAGTAAGAATTCACCATTTCCATTACCTGCATCTTCTGGGTCTTCGTCATAATCTTCATCGTCCCCAGACGACAGAGAATCTTCGGGGGAAAAGACACAAGATCGATCAATACAAATCTTAACTGATTTCTGTAACCGATAGCATGAGAAGAACATCTGGAAAGCTCATAGACTTATTCTAGAGGAAATAAAGAGGGGAACAAAAAACAAAATCAGGAATTTTAAATGCCCAGTTAAGAGGAAATGGCGTGTTGACCAGCAAGCACCTTTTTATATACGCACGCGTATTTAAGCATCTTAAAACCGACTGTGCTCAACGAGGAACTCATGAATGAGTCTTCAGTCCTCCTCGAGTCCTCGAGCTCACAACCAAAACATTTCCACAGACGTTACAGAAACGAGGGTCATTAGTTCTGCTGCGCACGCACACAGACACACACACACACACACACACACACACACACACACACACACACAACTCTCTCCATACATGCGAGGCTGACTCTGGCTAACAGTTAGCATGTCGGATGCTAATTACTTATTGCCACGTTGTAATTATTTTCTGACCTCCCCGGTTCGTGGCTCGGCCTCACAGCTTCGGCTAATGAGAGCCAGCTGTTGCCTCGACAACCCCAGGTGAGCTAAAAACGGCTCCCGAAAAACCCGCTGACGAGCAGGTTTCACGTTCAATTGTTTGAGGCCTCGGCCGGCCGGCTACTGTGGCGCCGCGGGGCGCGGCCGGAGGAGAAGCTGGTTCCTCTGCAGGTTTAAAGATTATGGAAGCAGTGAAATCAAGAGAAAAGCTGAAGCTACGTTCGCTAGGCTAACACGATGACAACCAGTGTTTAGTAGGGAAAATGTTAACCGTCCCGTTGTAACGTGTTGATATGCTAACATTTGCTAATTAGCGCTAAACACAGACAGATTTACCACATTAGCTTAACCAAACTTTTTTTTTTTTCACATAAACCGTGTCAATTACAACCATCTGCTGCGCTAAAAATAGTAAGAGCCTCAATTTCAGGTCTTAGACAGCAGCGAAACAAGAAAATATTAACATCGCACTAAAGGAAAGTGATGAGAAAAACGTTTTATAGATTTATATAATATTTTGGAGCGTTCAGCCAGATTAAAGTGTTTTCCGGTAAAACGAAACCAATAAATACATCTGACTTTGCTTTAGCGTCTGAATAAGCTCTTCAGCTAATCTGTGGCACTTTGGATTCGTAGACTAAAACGACTTTAAGGGAACAAATGGATCATTTGTTGAGTGAAATAAGAATGCAAACGAAGACGTGGTGGCCATGATCTCCAGAAACATTCCCTCCATGATGGCAGAAGTTGTTCATTTTAATGAACTTGTTGCTGTAACTTCTGTCACCTCTTCACATTACAGACCCTTATTATGTGTACCTTCTATTTGTGTGTGTGTGTGTGTGTGTGTGTGTGCACAATATGACACACACGCCTGTCTGGCTGCCATCCAGGTGCAAAATCTGATACCACTCCTAAACATCTGACACCTTGCTCAAATATTTGAGGAAAAAGACCAAACACAAACGCCCGTGTGTGTGTGTGCGGGACGGCGCTGAGGCGCCGCGTTGAAAGTAGAGCGACAAGAACAGGATATTGCCGCCACGTACTGTAAAACGTCTGACTTCTCCTGCAATTCAAACACGAGCCGAGTGTTAAAACCATCTTGAAATGGCCGCGATGGCCTCGCCTCCTCTCAAACGCACACGTATGTGGGGAGTGTGTTTGCGTGGGCCCTGGTGCAGCCTTTAGTGGATTCGGTGGTCTTGGACGGTAACGGGGGGGGGTTGCGAGGTGTTGAAACCCTCGTTTCTTGCCACCGCATCTGTTTTCAATGATTAAATGTTTCTCGCTAATTGCTTTCTAATTAGTGTCAATAACCGGCTCTGCTGGTCTCGCCGTGAGTTTTACGGGCAAGCTGCCGCTCGCTGCCTCTGACCCCCCCATTACCCCCCCCCCCCCCCCCCTACCTCTCGCCCCTCCGCCCTGCATTCCTGTCAGAGCTCCGTTTGCATCACGCTCACTTCACACGTTACTCGTCTCCTTATACCATAATTAATTTGACCTCTGACTGTGTGTCAGGAGGGAGAATGTGTGTGAAACTTTGCTGGGCGTTGCCTTGTCATGCAAGCTGTGTGTGTGTGTGTGTGTGTGTGTGCGCGCGCGCGCAGCTAACCGGTAGTTGAAACCGACCAGGAAGGAGAAAATAATTCAACTTTCTCTTCAGTTTTCAGTGTTCTCCGCGTGCAGACGTCACCGCTGAACCTCGTCCAGTGTTTGTCGATACTTCGGCGAGAATGCGGGCGGAGCGGACGGAGGCCTGCGGGGTCACCGAGGGTCACCGAGGGCTCCACCGCGCGCTGTAGGTGTTTCCCCAGTAGCTCAGCTACCGAGTGGAGCATCCTACAGGCGTGCGCGTCCTCGGCGTCTCATTCAAAGGGAACGCGTTCCTCGCAACGCGCTCTCACATTGCGCGTACAGTGTCGTCGCTTCCTATTTCTACTTTGCCCCGATTTCGAGGGACAACAGAGATCATCTCCTCCGCGAATGAGAAGCACGCGCGTCTATAATCACCTGTGACCCGGATGGTGTAGTTGCTGAGCAGCGCGTTGCTGCGGGCGAGCCGGCAGGAGTAGACACCCGAGTCCTCGTAGGACACGTTGACGACGCGCAGGACCCTCTGGCCCAGCCGCGTCCGGTTGCTAGGCAACAGCCCGGCGCCGTCTTTGAACCAGGCGACGGGCTCCGAGTGGTCCTCCAGGTCACAGGACATCTCCAGGGTGTCCCCGATGCCCAGGACGTCGTCCTCCAGGAAGGCCGTCTCGCTGGACACGGAGTCTGCGCACAAAGAGGAGGACACGGTTACGTTGCGTTGAGACGTCTACGCGTTATTTCACATTCAAGTATTCTCAGGTGCTGCGTCTCCGTCTGCTACATCTTTAGATTGACCTCACACTGAATACCTCGTGCGGTTTGGACTTCTGGAGATTTGACAACGTGAAGAGGAGTTTTTGTAAGATCTGGGGGTTGTGGGAATAAACGCCCCCCCCGGGCCCCCTTCCTGCCACACACATACTCATTTACTCCAGGAGCTCGCCTGGATAGAGACCGGGGGAAAAAATCAACATGTCTACCAGCTGAGGATGGAGGAGAGGTGGGGGACGTCTGGATAAAACAAACAGTCCCCTTGTGTCTCCTCCGTCAGAAGGCGTCTTCTCGTACCTCGCTCAGCTCTCAGGTCGCCCTGGTCGACCATTCAAGCCGACGGCCACGGGCGAGGGGCCGCGCAGACAGACGGACGTGCCGATATGTGCGGGGGAAGCAACGGGAGACGCAACGGGAGACGCTGGCGGCGCTCCAGCGGAACCGCTGGGAGGCCTCTTTTTCTTCCAGGTGCTGCAGGTCTGAAACAATTTGGACTGAATTGATGACCTGCGAGTCCTTTTTTCTCTCTCTCTCGTTACTCCGCCATCACACGTCCCAGACCTCTGCTTTTGACAACGATATTTACCACACATAATTTTTTATTTTATTTTTTTTTAAGCAGAAAAGGCCCATTGAGGGGAAAAAAAGCGCTGAGCGTCAATCCAAGTATGTGTGACTTCCAAAGGATAAATGGTTCTTTTCATACATCTGATGTCTTCAGGTCTTAAAGAAGGAATCGGGCTTCGTGGGGAAGATAAAGTTCTCCAGAGACTCTGAATGAGCAGCAGCAGCGAGGCTGGAGCACCTTCTCTGTATTCAGCGCTTACTTCTTGCTTTAAAGGGTTCGTTTATAAAGCACAGCTTTTGTTAATTTGGTTACAAATGGTGTCTCTCCGTGCACAAAGTTCCAGTTTCCTACGATTTTAATTTATTAATTTCCTCTAAATGTTCTTACAGCATTCCTCACAATATTACAGCTTATTTAAATAGCGAGGCGATGCATCAATGCAAGACCAAACAAATGCAATTTACCGAAAGTACAAAAACAAAAGACCAGTGTTTCATACATGTAGAAGAAAAAAAAACAAGAGCAAAGCCTTTTTTTTTTTTTTTGTCACCGTCAATAACAAAATATCAGCTTCACCTTCAGATCCGGAAAATTTAAAACATGGGAGAAAAAAATGTGGCGCTTTAAATAAAAGTATGTTTTTATTTGAAAGGCTTTTTTTGAGGCCTCTGGGTCTCATCACAGCTCACAGGTTTGATCACAGCTCTTTGAAACGAGACACAAATATGCAAAGAGAGGAATTCCTGATAAGTCAGTGGGCACGTGGAATTCCCAAAGGGAAAATTCCAGCTGCTGTGCGTCCAGCTGTGCCGGGTGGGGATGGTGGAAATGTGTGAAGCTCAATGAACGCGAGCGCAGGTTGATTCTTCCGTCTCAGCTTTTATACAGACAACAGCAGGAGGATTCTAGTGGTTTTCTATTGGACGACAGAGATGATGAACAACACGCGGGTACGATATCGCAGGTTGGACCATCTGCTTGATTTTGAGCTTCCGGCTGATTCATCTCTATCATCCCTTCCTGTACGTATTCTGCTCTCATCAAACGCACTAATTCACAGCCTTTTTTTCTAAATCTTCTCTGTTCAAATTCTTTGTTCCTGTTATCAAAGCCCCGCCAGAATAAAACCCACCCGAAGTGATCCTGACGCAGCAGATACATGAAAGCTGGGCTGCACCGCTCGTATCAACATCCACACGTTCCCGCTGTTTTTCCGTCCGGTGTGAGCCATCGGCGGCCTGGTGTGTGCGTGTGTGCGTGTGCGTGTGCTCTCCGGAACTTGGGTGCCAGCTGGGAACAATGTGTGACATGTACTCTTTGAGCATGTGTGTAAATGTGTGTGTACGAATGTGTCTGCCGTTGTAAACGAGGAACAGTTTGTGTGTGTGTGTGTGTGTGTGTGTGTGCGTGAGAGCGGGTAAGGCTTGGCGGTCACTCCATAAATCAAGAGGCCCCTGCCCTCACGGCCCGTCTTACCCTCTCGCCTCAACATCATAACAAACAGCCCTTCAGAATAAAATACGGAGCGTCTTTGAGATGCGGCCCCGTCACACGCTGAACAGACTCCGTCTTCTTCGTCCCTCTGAAGAGGTTTATTTATCCTCTACAAACTCCTCCAGGGCCCCGGATGAAAGGAGCCCTTTATGTGGGCGGCCGGAGCGGCGTAGACCCCGGCCGAGGAGCCGTCGCCATGGCGGCTGTCGCGCGGGGTCACGGGAGGAAACCCGCACGACGTTCAGCTCGGCAAACACGCCTCCGTGTGCGCTTTTGTACAACTCCCGTATCGGCAGCAGACAGAGTTCTGCTTGTTTAGAGCGACCGGCTGCAGCCACGCTGACCCACATTAATAGAACTGTGAGCTTCTCTCGATTTTTCCTCTCGTATTTGCAGCAGGAGGCTTTCGAGGATTTATTCCACAGATGTTGAGGGGAGACACCGGTTAAATTGGAGGATTTAAACTCAGGGTTTTCATCTCTGCCTTTTTAAAACCATATCTGCGTTTAACCCACCTCAGAGAGTGATGGATTTCAGGGCCGGGGAGACGTTCATCTTCATAAAGCTCCCTATTCCTCCTCCTCCTCCTCCTCCTCCTCCTCCTCCCCGCTAACACAGAGCTGATGGTAGAACTGGGCCGTGTTTTCCTCCCGTGCAGAGCGCAGCAGGGCAATAAAGTCACGTTATCATAATCAGGAGGACCGAATCCGCTGGGACAAGCTGTCCCACGAGGCCTCATGACGTGATGGTCAGAGACGTAGGAGACAAACACTCGTGTCTCATGAGGAGCAGACGCATCTTCTCAGGATGAAGAGCATCCTTCTCTTTCTTGACGAGTAAGAATCGTTCTGAAAGCAGGTGATTAGTTACAGGAAAACTATTCAGAACCGCGAGAGCATTTTTGCACATTTCCTCAGAGGGAAGCGCTTCTAAACGCTGTGCACGAATCAACGTTTTATTTTATCCGTCACCAGATAACTCCAGTAAAAAAAAAAAAAAAAGTGACCTCTTAGATCTCCTGCAGCTGGCGACGCGCCTCCGCAGCGTTCCGTCTGCTCGCCGCGTCCCGCCAACACATTCTTCTACTTCTGCTTCCTATGCGGAAAAAAACGGCACCGGCTGCCAACCGTTTGGCACGCTCGGCGTCACGCGACCTTCAAACAGGATCTGGGTCCCCCCCCCATCTCAACCCCCCCCCCCCACCTCCACAGAGCGCATTTCTCTTCCTCCATTTCACGGCTGTGCCCATTGTGCATCCTGCCCGTCCCTGAAAAGCTCCGTCTCCTTTATTTCCTTTGCTGCGCCGTGCAATGAAAACCCCCCTAATCTCTGTTTAATATGGTTTGGCCGGATGTAAATACCTTCCGACAATGCCCTTAATCTGGGGCCGGCCTGACAACCTCACACCGGCGCGGAGCAGCCCGCCAGCCAGGGATGGAGGGAGAGGAGGGGAGGCGGGGATCAAGGGGGAGAGGAGAAAAGACCCCCACCCCCACCAGCTCGGTGCGTCCATCCTCAAAAGAACCCCTTAAATCAAGTTAAAGATAGTCGCTTCCTCTAAACACCCGCCCCGGCGTGATTAACCCCCCCCCCGGCTCCGGCTGCACTAACGAGCATCGGAAGCTACTGTACATCCAGAGCATCTTGGCAGCGGCCAATCGGCCTTTTCAGACCCTCGCCGTCACCCCCCACCTGCCCTCCGTCCCTCCGTCCTCGGTAATTGTCATTCCAAAGGCGAACTGGCCTACTTTCAATTCAGCAGACAAGTGCGCGAAGTCGGACCCCCACAAAGGGCCGGGACGTCTGCGGAGTGTGCGAGGGGCACGATCACTTTCACCACACGGAGGAACCAATCCGATTACAAGGCGGCTTTTTCTGTTTTTTTTCCCTCGCGGCGCGGACGCCAAAGCTCCCCTTTCCCTGCCAGCGATTTGTCTTTGTCCTTAATGAAGATAGACGATTTACGGCCTCTATGGGGGGGGGGGAGAGAGCCGGACACCTTTTTTTGAGCACTCGGGACCGGATTCTGTGTTCAGCCTGTTTGCTTATGCGAGGAGGAGCAGAGCAGGAAAGCCTCTAATCCCATCGTCCTCCCTCCAGGACCGGCCTGCACTTACGGCACAGACGGGCCACAGAGAGGAGAACAACTGGAGCCCAGTTGTCCTCAGACATCTACACTAACACGGCCTGAACACTGAACAATGGTTCCTCTGGAACTCGGGCTCAAGAGGAACCATCTGCAGAAATACGGGGGCCCCCTCTCCCCCCCGCCGCGCGGCCAGGTTCAATGTGGCGGCGCTCTACTACGCGTGAAAACGTTCGATGGCTTTGCTGTTTAGTGCCACTGAGCAAAGCAGCAGACGCACCGGTGCTCAGAAAACAACGTTTCGTGGGAATTTGAAGCGGATTGTTTTAAAAAAGAAAAGAAAAAGGGAAACAGGAGTCGGCTCGACTTCTCTCTTCTCTCCCCCCCCCCGCTATAGTTTATTATTTTAGCTCTCCAAGCAAAATAACACGTGGGGAGGGAAGGTGGGAGGGGGGCGATGTAAGCAGCGTTTGGTTTCTATATTCGATGTGTCAGCCTCCCTGCGTGGGGGGGGGGGGTTGGGGGGGGTCGGTGGAGCTAATTGGGATTCGTCCGGCGGACACGGAAGAAGAGGAGGAGGAAGATGAAGGGGGGGCGAGGCACAGAGAGAGAGGTAAGGGAGTCAAGGGCCTGGCTGATGGGTGAGACACATCAGGCCTGAATTGTCTCCCTTGCTCCCGTTGTGTGTGTGTGTGTGTGTGTGTGTGTGTGTGTGTTGGACTGCATACAGTTTGGCACACAACCCGCCATCTGTTTGCCAGCAAC